TCTCCCTGCAGCCTTGCCGCCTTTCCGGCGTTCAGATGCAGCCATTTACCTCAGGGGGTGCAGTGAGGAAAGGGCAGCGGCCAGCTGGGGCTTGAGTCACTCCCACACGCTTAGAAAATCACACTCTCACACGACACGCACGTCAGAGTAAAATGAGTAAGAGCCGCTTTTGTGGATCTGAAATTACTTTGACCCTGTGTCCCATTAACAAAGTGCCCCGAAACGTGCAGATTTTTGAAGGCAAGCTCCCATACGCAGAAAATTTCAGAGCCCTTCATACCTAGATTGGTATCTCCGTGTCAGCTTCCGTGTGGTTTTTTCACTCTTACCCCATGTGTAGTAGCAAAAGCCGCCTGGTTTTAGCTAGGCAGTCAAATATGATATATATATATATATCATAGAAACATTTGGCTGTAAGTTTGGATAGTTTTTAACTGGACCAGGTGTACAGGTAATGGCACCCTAGAAATTAATGTGTGGCAGAGGGAGAGTCAATTGTTCTCTTGATGGTTGCCAGTCACCCCGCTTTTCATAAAAAGCATCACAGTTTGGGCATTATTTTAGTACAGATGCAATATTCATTTTTCCCTTAGTTCATCACATGCTGATAACTACTGTTTTGCTCTCAAAGACGTTAAAGCATGTTCAATCCAAAGCTTAATATAAATGAGAATGTGTTTATAACAACTTAAAGGTGTCCTGAAAAATAAAATTAATTTTTAATAGGAAGGAAGAAGAAAATGCAATTTTTTTATTTTATTTTTTTAATATTTAGCTGTGTTTCAGGCTCTCTGGTTGCAGCAGAATACTAACTTCATGTCTGCTTTACGTTTCAGAAGTCACCACAGTGACAGTAGCCAACGTTGGTGCCTCTGCGGACAATGTTTTCACTACATCTGTGGCAAACGCAGCTTCAATTTCAGGACACGTGTTGGTAAGTCTGTCCTTTCAGTTGAGGGCCTTAACAAAGTCCTGCGTACTGTCTTAGTGTAAACGAAGAGCTTGGTTTGTGTTCGAGCAGTAGTAAGGTCAACAATAACGTGTTCATTGCAGCATAAAGACTTTAAGCCACAAAACCATTAGCTGGGGGACATACTGGTTTTCCTTTATCACCTGGAGAGTTTTTTTACCTTTCCACCCCCATATACTCATTCTGTAATGGAACCGATGACCTGGAACATGTAACCTTTGAATTTGGTTGGCTAAAACATCAAAACCTAACCTAATAACCGCCATACCGATTGGTGGTTTAGGGTACCTTTGAGAAGATTTGGGGGAATACTAAAATACATTGGTATTTTAACTCTATAAATTTAAACTCTTTATTTCTTCTATAGTCTGGGAGAACGGCCCTCCAAATTGGGGACAGCTTGAATACTGAAAAAGCCACTCTCATAGTGGTTCACACAGACGGCAGCATTGTAGAAACCACAGGGTTGAAGGGGCCATCAGCACCTCTCACACCAGGTATAAGGCAATCTGTTCTTGAAGTGTCATTCTCCCTGAGGGGTTGCTTTTTCTCCACTTTAGTTGTGTTTCTAGGATTAAAAAACATGAAGTGCATAATATTATGCAGTTGCCTTACAAGGATTGTTTGTCCCCTCTTCACATGGTACTTCTTATTTCTTGGGAGTAAAATACTTTTTTTTGTTGTTTTGGTTTTTTTCCCTGTCAGAAATATATTTCATTTTCTTATTCTTTGCCCTAGCCCTTGCAAATAAGCTTCTTGAAAAATCTTGCCCTGCTGCTGGGCTGTCACATGTCTCTCTACACCCATCCCACCCCAAAGGCAGATGGATCATTCTAATATCAATAATAAAAATGTGAGTCTCCTAGTTCCACACATGGGTTCTTTTCAAAGGGTCCTTGAATCCGTTCAGGCCGCTTGCTGATATTTAGATGTCACGATAGCTGGTGTTTTTATTGTGAAGTTTATGGCTGCTTGGCAGTTTCTTTCTGCCCACAAGATGGCATGGCAAACCTGCAGCAGTCTCAAACACGGTACAGGATCGGCCTCTGGGAAGGGGAAGATCCAGCCAGCTGCTTACACCACTCCAGGTTACAACCTCGGCATTTAATGCTGTTATTTTCAGTCAATTTTAGAACGTTCAAGCTGAATTTTTTGCGCTGCACCATGTAACTCACGTTGCCATGGAGAGGTGTCAGCTGCTTCAGTTACCCACTTGACACTGTTGCTCCAGCCGAGCTGAGCGTGTGAAGGTATGGCCAGTGTGCTTTTTGGTTGCTGTCACCTTTCTTTTCTTTTTTTTCCAAAGGACCGCAATCTCCTCCTACCCCATTAACATCCGTCCAAGAAAAAACTGGAACCAAGTATAACTGGGACCCATCTGTGTATGAGAACGAGCTCCCGGTGAGGTGCCGGAATATCAGTGGCATTCTGTATAAAAACAGACTCGGCTCAGGTAACAATGACCTTCTGGGGTGAGGAAGTGTGACAGCACTTGGTGCACTCTGCTTTTTATTAGGATACTTGTAAGGGCTGATCATGAGGAAAAAAAGACAGTTTCTTAGCCAGCCTAGTCCCTTCGGTATTACTATTCTCTTCTGTTTTGCTCTTTCTTGACAAGCTTTTAAACTTTTTTCTTAAATCTGTGAAGATATAAGCTGCTGTGCAGTGAGTCTCCCCAGTAATAGGTTGACTCCTTTTTGTCTGAGAAGTAGACCTGTGTTTCTACAAAGTTCTAAAGAATCCCTACTGGAACGGAAAATAGACAGCTTGTCTCCTAATGGGAATCCTTAGCTGCCTTAGCCCCTCCCCTTCTCTTTTATCTCTGTGGGAAAGCTGGAGAAGCAGCAGCAAAAATTGTCCGCAAGCCTGACTGCACAGCCCAGCGCTCACTTCATGGATACAGAGTTTTCTTCACGACCAGAAGGATTAGAAAATTCAGTGCAAATTAAGGAAGGGCTTAAATTCATGGTCTTCATCCAAGAAAGACTTGTCTGTCTTGTGGATGAGTAATTTTTTCTAGCCTTGTGATGCATTGATGAGGCCCAAAGTTGGAGCTCTCTAAACATGCACAGTCATTATTACAGTGAAGATAATACATAGGCATGGTTATTCTAGAGTGGTGAGAAGTAGTGGATGGGCGTGTGTGGTGATTGCTATAGATTAACTGCTGTTTTGTTCAGCAATTTCAGTATTTACTTCTTTAAAAAAGTGGCAAAAGGATTCTTAACCATGACTAACAATTCCTTTCTTCTGTTTTATTTCAGGAGGCCGTGGTAGGTGCATTAAGCAAGGGGACAACTGGTACAGCCCCACTGAATTTGAAGCTATGGCGGGACGAGCCAGCAGCAAAGACTGGAAGAGGAGCATCCGCTATGCTGGAAGGCCACTGCAGTGCCTTATTCACGTAAGGTTAAGTTTGCTTCCTCCTTTCTGCTGGAAGGGGCAGGTAGGGTAAGGGCAGAGTCTGCCCACGCTGCAGTCCAAGCCGTGTGCGCTGCCTCAGCAGAGTTATGTGCGACGGTGCCGTGGGGCAACTCGGAAGCAACATTTTGATTTGGTTGAGAATCGGTGATGTGCGAAGAATTTTTCTAGATGTGTTTTCAAATAACATTATATGAATCTTGCTTGTACTTGAAAAGAGGTTACAGTTTGTGCAGGACGAAGCCCAGCCTTGAGGTGTGTTTTGCAGAAATTGAGAAGTAAGCTCTCACCCACGATACTGTAATTCAATATCCTGATCTGCTCAATTCTGTTTGCCTGACAAACATATTCTTCACTTGCACCATTTATTGAGTATTGCTTTGGGTCCTTTATTTCCCGTAGCGTCCAGGAGTCTCATGGAGAATTTGGCATTGCCATTAGGTTGACAGTTGATTTCTGCTTGGGCAGAAACTTTATAAAATTCACATATCCTTGCCTTTTGGTTTGAAAATCGTTTGTTCTTCTTTCACTCCCCTCCCACCCGCTCACCCCATCGCCATGACGCAGGGAAGCTGGCCTCTCCGTTGCTGTGTGGGGTCCCTGGGAAGGAATGAGTACGTCTCTCTGGGAGTGTCCGAATCTCTTTGCAGAATACGGTCGTGCTCTCGGTGGTTTTGGTGACTAACGCTGAACTAGTAATCTTCTAATTTCAGGATGGGATATTAAATCCTCATGCTGCCTCTTGTACTTGTGCTGCCTGCTGCGACGACATGACTTTGGTGAGTTGTAGGTGTTATATCCGTTAGTTTAAGAACAATTAATCAGTCAAGCTGCCACAGGCAGTTGTGAGCGTCCTAGAAATGTTCATGCGTACTGTGGTTGCAGCATGCTTTGTCCATGCCTGGTCCTTAACAGATAAGGAGCTGCTACCACTATTGCCTAGCAGCTTCAGGAAATCTGGGTGATAGTGCATCTTTTTTCTTTTTTTTCCTCTTTTCTAAGTAACGTATCTATGTAAAATGCCTTTTGGCGATGTCAAAGCTATTTGTGATTTTTGACTCAAACTTCACAATTCTTTGAGCTGGAAAAAAAATGTTTTTGTAAGGAAGTAATGTAATACTCTGTGTTGGATCCATATCTTCATATTAAAGTGCTTGGTTGGTTGGTTTGGTTTGTTGTTTATTTGTTTCAAAAATGATGTTAAAGTCCTGAAAGCAGAAGTCTTTAGCTTGACTTGAAGTAGTGTTTTGCATTTCTTTTCTGCTAGGAACTGGATGATTTGCTTGTTTCCTAGACCTGAAACTAATTGCTTCCTGTCTTCCTTTCGCTCTTGTTCCATTTTCTTCCACCACCTTGGCCAGCAGTCAGTTATTTGCCCAGTCCTGCTCCTTAAATAATAGTGGGAAGAGGCTGAATCTGTTCCTCTTCAGCTGGAGGGAGCTGAGTGTAACTTCTCTTTCACAGAATTCTTTTGGTTTGGAAAAGTAGGAATTTTTTGATCAGTTGTTGCAAACCACACACCTTCCATGGGAATACGTGCTGCTTGACCTTAGCTGCATCTAGAAGGATGAGAGTAAACCCAAAGTCCCCACAGAGATGCCTCACCTGATGCCTTTTCCTTTTCCTTTTTTTTTTTTTTTTGGGTGTGTTTTGCCTAGAGTGGCCCTGTACGACTCTTTGTACCGTATAAAAGGCGGAAAAAAGAAAATGAAATGCCTGCAACTCCAGTGAAGAAGGATTGCCCCAAAAACATCACTCTGCTTCCTGCCACAGCTGCTACTACATGTAGGTTCTTTGATAAAAATTGCTTTCCTGTTTTTTGATGAAGAATTGCCACAGTAGATATTTTATGTCTGTCAATGGCCTCATGGAATTAGCCAACTGAGAAAAATGTCTTTTTTTTTTTTTTTTTGCCACTTCCTTTTCATTGGATAGATTTATTGGCTCAGTGTCTTTAGCTAATTTCACTTCCTATTTTGTAGATACTAGCACAGTATTGCCACATCAGGACTGCAAATTGAGTAGGAAAAAGTGCAGCTCTAGACCTCCAGGAGACTTGGTTTTAAGCATCTTAACATCCTTTCGCAGTGAGCAGTAGGTTTTGTGTTTTGTTCCGAGAGAGGTCTGGATTCTATTTCCCCCCGCTCCCTGCTCTCTCAGCCTGGCAGTGAAGGGGCAGTTGTGGCGTCCTGGCCCTGATGGGTTGGTGGGTTTTTCACAACTGACAACGGAGAAATTTCCTCCTGTTGAAATTAGGTGGAGGGGAAGGCTGGCCCTTGTCTGCTCTGCCGGAAATCCCCGTTCCAGCCCCTGTGGTTGGATTTTGTCCTATAGAAACTGGTGGGGGATACAGAGTAAGATTTGTGCTATTTCTTGAAATACATAGAAAAGTAAACTCTAAGCAGCTGGAATGAAATTCACAGCCTGAAAGTCGTTAATGAAAGAGGCAGAAGGTGACGCTTTCATCTGCAAATTCCTCTCTAACATTCAGGACATGCTTTGTTACTTACTGTTTTTGATTGTCAAACCATCTGTGTGAGAAAAGAAATTAATTTGCAAGCTCATCCAGCTCACACATTCCCAGTCACATCCATGTGTCCTCCTGCTCTCATCACACGAGCATCATCTGGATGGTAACATTACACAGTGAATTGAGGAGGAAGCAACAGAAATCAAAAAAAGAACAGCCAAAAGCAAGATTAGATTGCCAGCAACAGCAGGAAGAGAAGTACACAAGTACACAATTCTGTAGAGTTGTTTTGTTTGGGTTTTTTATGTCGCTTTAAGTAGTAAGATCCACTCTTGCTAAAGTTGTAATAAATCAGCATCAGCCAGAAGCTGACGGGTTTTGTAGCTCCACTGGACCTTTCTGGTAGGTGTTAGGTTTTTGCTCATAGAAGAATTGAAAAAGTGGTGATTTGGGAGGCAGTATGTTGTAAGTGAACATTCTGGCCTCGTACACCCAGAGAATAAACAGAGGCCTGCAGGAGGCCAGCAGTGCCTTCAGAAGCCAAACGGGGCTTTTATCCCCCTTTCCAATTGTATTGGCCATATGTGTGATCCAAACATGGGTATCACAGGCCGTTTACTGATCTGTGAGTTCTCTGGATGATTCAGAACAGGGATATCAACAGCTAAACAGCCAAGGCCTCCGCACTGAGTGTTAATTATGAAAGTACTTCTAATATTTCCAGTCACCGTGACTCCTTCTGGACAGATCACTACCTCTGGTGCTCTGACATTTGACCGTGCATCGACAGTGGAAGCCACCGCAATTATCTCGGAAAGTCCGTCCCAGGGTGATGTTTTCACTGGAGCTGCGGGTAAGAGTTCAGGTGTATCTGCTAGACATCTGCGAGAAGGAGAAAAAAAAGGTTTGGATGCCCACTGCTATAGGAAGAAGCATCTTGAATGCTGCACGAAGGATTTATTTTGCAAGAGCTTACAGAGAGACTGTACGTAACCCACTGTCCTTCCTTTGAAAAGATTTCAGCAGCTTGAAATCTTACCAGTTGCACAAAAGAAGTTAGAAGTTTTGTCCAGATGTTGCAGCTGCTAATTTACACTTCTGGTGATTTCTAATGTTTTATGTCATCTCTCTTATTTTTTTTCACTCTTCCTTCGTTCTAAAATACTACCAAAAAACCCCAAACTAGCTGAGTGTTGAAACTAAGTAAAAAATGCTGAAAAATGCTAGAGTAAATCAAACAAAACATAAATGCGTGACATGTATTTCAGTTTGATTCATACCTGGGGTTGTGAGCTCTGCTGAGGGAGCTGTCCTGCTCTGAGAACCACAGTTTGAAGTCCCCTGATTATTGTAAATATATAGATGCGTGGGAGGGGAGCCAGCAGTAACCTTTGCTTTAAAAGTGGAAGCAGGGAATGGTGAAATCAGTACAAGGTTGCCTTGCTTGCTAACTGTGTAAGATCATGCTACTGTTTCTCATTTGCAACCCTTGGAGTTATCATAGAGTGTAGGAACTTGTATAAAATGTAAAAATAATATGGGTGAAAGAGGCGTAAGAAGTGCCTGACAGCTATGTGATACAGTGATTGATACTGCCGTTGTTCTTCTGCAGTTCAAGATACCAATGTCCAGCAGCCTTGCCGGGTCAGTCACCCAGAACCTCACTATCCAAGTTACCAGGACAACTGTCAGATTTCACCTTTTCCTGAAGCTGCACTGCCAACGTCTCATCCCAAAATTGGTAAGTGTTATGTCCGTCATGTGAGACACAGTTAGCAGTGCTTGAATTTACTCTCTAATCTTCTTTCTCAGCAAAGGTAAAGATTGAGGCAGAAAAATAAACTTTGCTCTGTTGTGCTTATGAATTTTGCAGTTATTAAGATTTGGACAAGCGTGTTTTCCACTCTGTGGAAAGTTTTTCACTCCATTATTGAGAACTTTGATTTGCTGGTTTCTACCAGAGGAGGTTATTGTGATCCTGTGTCCTAAATAATCTTGCAGTCAGTCCCCTGCCTTTCCTAAGGCTCTTGCTTCAAGGCTTTTGTGACCACTTGGCCACTGTGGCTAAACATTTATTTAGTGTTTGATCTGAGGAGACCATCCCCTTTAAAATTACGTCACAGAATCTTTTCTAAAAATTCTTCCATCTCTTTATGAATCCACTGATACATGCTGGAGGCAGTTTTGGGCAGGTTTGGTGTGCTGTTCTTGCATCCAATGTCAGTTTTCATCCCTTAACACTGATGTTTGCGCTGGAATGGTAGGTGCTGGTTACCCAGTGCCAGTGAGACCCTCCCCTGCTGCGCTCACGTAGACGGGAGTAAAAAAAAAAAGACAAAACAGTATGAAAAATGACACATGCAAATCAACCCTTTAGTGTTTGATAGGATGAGTTAAATTGATTATCAAATATCTCTTCAAATGTAATTATATTATGTAAACTTAACAACCTTCCATTTGGGGAGCTGGCTGATAAATTAAGTGAACTACAATGTTGTTTGAGTGTTGCCTGTGCTGACAGACTGGAAGTGTTGAAGAAAGTGGAATTGCAAACTTGACATGTTCTTGCTTTATGTGTTTTTATCGAGCCTGGACAAGAGATACAGCTGGGAACAGTCTGCCACTGGCTGGCTGATGGATTAGGTGATTTATAGGCCTTTAACTTCTCTAATTTCTACGATTCTGTGAAGTTACTCTGATACTTACTGATCTCGCTGACACAGAGGAGCTGTAAGACAGGCAGGTGTTGATCTCTGCTAGTGTTCTCTCAGACATCGAGAAAAGATCATGTAAACATGTTGTATTCTTTGTGCAGTCTGAAGGCTTTCTTTTTTAAAGCCTGTGTTCTCTCTTCTGTATGACCTTTTACTTATTTGGAGCTGCA